TCCCCAGGAGTATTTTTTGACCCCTGGATATCCAGGGGTCTAATCTTGTCCCCTGTGCTGCAAATTTGCAGCATGGAGAACTTTTTTTGTTCCCACATGTGCCTCTTGCAGCATCTCAAAGGGGTTTGAGATGCTGCAAGAGGCACATGTGGGAACAAAAAAAGTTCTCCATGCTGCAAATTTGCAGCATGGAGAACTTTTTTTGTTCCCACATGTGCCTCTTGCAGCATCTCAAAGGGGTTTGAGATGCTGCAAGAGGCACATGCGTGCTCATCTGGATGCACCATCTGAGTTTATCTTGTCAATCATGTTTCCGCATCTAACAGGGCTAACATTGCATGACACCCTCTGGCATCCCTGAAAGGATCTCAGGGTGCCTTATCACCCTTGTTGAGAATCACTGGCTATAGCAAGAAGGGGTAAATAACCACCACTTCTGAGAGGATCAGAAGCAATGGCTAGGGGCTGACTAACAATTTTCCTGGTCTCCTCAAAGGCTTAACTACTTGGATTTTAAATCTGACTTCTATATCATACAGAACGACTAAAAGCCAACCATCAATAGCCATTATTTGTCTCTCTCTCTGCAAAGGAGAAGTACTAAGCAGAAATCTCTTCGTCTATGAAAGTAGAGGGGTTCCATTTGGAAAAAGAGGGGAGTGATATGAGAAGTGAGAGAATTCAAGGTGGCATGTGCCTTCTCAGAAAGAGTTTGACAAGGTTGCCATTCATACTTCCAACTTGATGCTGTCTGAAGATTCCCTGCTTTCCCCACCCCTAATATAGATACAATGACAATTTACTAACGTAAAAAGACAGTATCCAACCTCATCCTAATACAGAATTTCTGGTAAATTAACAAAAGAGTTAAAATTAGTGCCAACTTTGCACAAGTGATCATGCCTTAATGATTCTGTTTGTACTGAATACAGTCCAAACCAATAATTGCATACATTTGGTGTTTTTAAAAGGGCCAGTTTTACAAAGATGAGCCTAAATAAGCCAAGTTAGTTGGGAGAACGAAAGTAAGAGAAAAATATGAAAAAATTGTAATTGTTTGAGAACATTTTATTTGCTAACCAAAAAGACCAATATCCCATAGTCAAGAAAAAGTCATCATGGTTAAAAACCAGACTTACAGAAAGTGTGCCTTAAGAGACGTTTTAGGAATGAACATATACATAGGGAACAGAAATCTACTAAAGCACTTTTCAATTCAATAGACAAAGGTATAAAAAATGCAGTGGACACAACTGAAAGATAACAATTCAGACTAGAAATAAAGTGCAATATTTTAATAGGAACAGTAATTAATATTGCAATAATTTGTAATAGGTTGTGGTGGTTTTTCTATCCCTGGAGACTTTAAAATTAAAAGTGGGTGTTTTTTCAAAAAACAAAACAAAACAAAAAAACAGAACATGGCATAGTTCACATGGGAATTATAATACATACTCTGGTATCTGAACCCCTTTGCAAAAGCCATTCTGATTAGATAAAGGTGATCAGGTAACTGAAATAGTTACGCATTACAGAATCAAACTTAAGAACATGCTCACAGTTTTGTACAAAAAAGCTTATGAGAGCAGTATACAATAACAATAGCTATAACTTACAGTACTGCATTAAACGTAAGAGCACTGATACAGGACTGCATTTAAATAAGGCACAGAAAACAAACTGTTACACCATCCCAAGTTAACAAGTTAGAAAAAACGCTGATGTTCAGGTAAGTGAAGATATTCTGTAATTCTGGAAAGTCTTAACCTGTGTTGATGATGATCATCATGGCTCCCTCTCACTATAAACTATGAATTTATGATTCTTACCATAAGTAAATAAGTGTACATCTCAAACCAGCTCATTCCCATTCACAACTGTACATCTCTTTTATTCACTATAATTTAACAACATCCCTGTTTCCAACCACACAATCACTTAAAAGGAAAAGCAATATTAAGGAAGGGTTTTTTTTCTTTAAACAGTACCAACATCATTTACCAGCTAGGAACAAAGAAAGCCAGTGCATATAATAATCCAGCTGCTGGCAAGAATAACTAGACATTTGCTGGCAGGCCTAACCAGAAGACATTGTGCCCTTATGTGGGAATCTTGCAATTTCTTCTTAGCATCACAGGATCCCGAAGCCAATAAACAAAAAAGGTCAGGTTAGGCAGAATTTACTTGGCAGTTTGAGAGGAAAGGAATAAGTAGTAAAAGGACAAAATAATGATATCGAAGAGCTAATATGAACAGTTCAACACTGATAAGAATTGTATATTAGGTGGTTACTTGTTCAGACTATGATCCCCTGGTATCTGGGAAGGCATGAACAATGTGGCAAATTTTGTCTATATTGCCACAGCAACATCCCAAGATATTAGCTGAACTGGACTGGTGGAGGTGCATCTTGAATATAGTAACAATAAGAATTTATGTTCTCAGGGCTGATTTGCGAACAATAGCAGATCATGGAGATTGTTTCAACTGAAGCTGATGGTGTAAAATAAGTTTAATTAGTGCTCAGAAGCTATTAGGTAGGGAGGTAATCCAGTTAGAATCATTAAGTAATTGGATTATACCATCAGAAGATGATAAACTGGAAAGGTATATATGATAATCTAAAAATAAATCATTTCAACTCTGAAATTATTTGAATAAAAAAGGCTCCACTTACTGTTCACAAGTCACACAGCAGTTCAGTTCAATTGACAATGCTAAGAGCAAGAAATATATACATGTACACATACACAAGAAATATATACACACACAATTAAGCAGAGTTCACAGATACTGTACTTCTCAAAAATGCTCATTACCCACATTTTTACCCTTCTGTGACTATATATATAATTCATCCATGCCCTGACATCAGTTAAACAGAGTGCAAGATTTGTTTTTGCCAAGTCCCTGCAGTATTAATAGTAAAAGAGATGACTGAATTTTTTTTAAGTTAAATTATTTAGGAATAGATCTGGTAAATGATTTTGGCTAAGTAGTTGTATTTTTTTACATTTAGGAATGGAAACAAAATGCAAAGTGGATTCAGACAACATAAAGAAAGGTTTAACTGTGAAAGGTTTCAGACCCACACAAAATTTGTCAGGTTTAACGCTATACCAGTTTAAAGCTAATCTATATTCCGTATGCCTTGTTTAAAAACAGCAGGAATTGTATTAATTAAAACTAACAAACAGAAGCAACAACATCAAAGAACATTAACTCTCTCTTGCTTTTTACATCTGTGCATTATTTTCAAGACTGTTTAGTGGATTCTATAAATTTAAATGCTTTCTTAGGTGCACAGAGTTCATTTAAGCATGGAGTTCAAACTGGCTGTGGTTATATTCTACTACAAGTTACATCGCTACTGATTGGAAAAAAGAACTGAAGGAGGAGAATCATGAGTTGTAAGACACTAAAAGAGCCAACACGATCTCTTGAAATTTGACGATGACATCCTACCATTTTCACTGCCATTTCATCCAAAATTATGATTCATTATTTGGAATGGTTCTCATAATGTAAATCTTAAACTCCATTGTTAGTTCTTAAAATACAAGAAAGATCACCATAAAGACTTCTGGAAGTAAGCAAAGTTAACACAACAGAGGTTACAAACATCTGGGAAAGAGAGAGAACAGTTAATAACACCTAAAATATATTCCTTTATTTTGGAAAACAAATAGCACCTTTATCAGCTTTAGTGTAGCAGCATATTTCCTTTCAGAATCAGGGACAGTGTTTCTTTCAATATACCTATATCAATCTACTGAAATGTAAGTAGGAAACTTGTCAAGCTTTTTTGTAATTAGTTACTTTGAATGCTTCAGAGAAAGTATGTGTGTAGACATGCTCTCTCTCTTGGAAAGGAAATCTGTTGGGCAAGCCCAAGGAGCACCATTCCTATACATATCCACTCTTCTTACCTGTGCATCCTATTACTTTAACCTCATTTTTAGTTTTTGCTGTTGCTTTGATTAGCAGCATCCCTCTAACAGCATCTAGGCACAACTGCACTGCTTCCCTCATGCTTCTTTTGAAAAGAAAAATCTCTAGTGCAGCGTTTCTCAACCTGTGGGTCTCAAGAATATAGGAAAGAGTTGCGAACAAACTTTAAAAAATGAATTCTCCTTTAAAGGAGAAAAATGTGGGAAACTGGTTTTTCCCTTACAGGCAGGCAGAGTGCCAGCCTGTAAGGGGCTGCTTGGGGTCCTCCCTGCCTGCCCCCCCTTGCCCATACCCCCTCTCCCCCACACACTGGGGGTCTGGGGGCAGAAAGCAGAGGGTTGGGAGTCAGGGGCACTGGATCAAAACCAGCCATCGATGTTTACAAATGGGTCCTGGTATAAAAAAGGTTGAGAACCATTGCTCTAGCGCATCTTTATGAAAGCACAAGTTATGACAGCACAGGTTATGATATGAAAAAAAAGTTGAAAATCATTCTACCCTTATGCTTTAAATTTTTGTTAACAGATTGTTTTCATTACATCAAAGAAAGCAAAACACAGCATACCATGCTAAGCATCAAAATACTCTAAAAAGCACTTGGTTCTAGCAGGTAAAAATATACAAGTCATTATAAGAGGAGAATCTCAATATCCTGCATGATGGTCCAAGAAATATGCAAGAGGCAAGGATTTTTGTGGGTGGTTATCTTTTCTTGGACCAACTGCATGGTTTGCACAGTGATTCTTGGAAATAGAGATATCTTTCTTAGGTAAGTTTTGATAATGCATTGTGTTCTTCCAGCAGGTTAGAATACTTTAGGTACCTGAAGAATGTATTGCATTCAGAAACTTACTTTAGTCTATCCAAACCATGCAGTTGGCCCAAGAAGGGATACCATGCACAAAAATCCATGCTTCTTGCATATTTCCTGGACCATTCAAAACTATCACTCCAGTAAAAGATATTACTTAGATACGTGATTTACTTGATGAAATCCTGAGTTATCAGTGGCTAAGTAAATATACGAAAAACAAAGTGAAATTTCTTACCTTTGTCTTTATGTAGAATGGAGATGACTGGTTAATGGGTAAGTCCATGATACTATTTGAATTTGTAACACTATTATTGTTTGGGTGTTCATCTTCTCTACTGCTGTCATCAGACTGATCAAAATCATCACTCTCCTGATCCATTTCCTCCTCCTCTTCCACTTCCTCCTCTTGCTCACCAGCATGATCTTCTTCTTCCTCCTCCTCTTGGTTACAAGTGGATTCTTCATCCACTGCAATAAGTCTATTGTTGTTTTCTTCTAATTGTTCTTGCTGGGATTCACTTGTGTCTCCAAGTCCAGGGTCTGCTCCACCTATTTCTCCATTTTGTACAATATGCTCCTCTTGTTGTCGTCTTTGCTGCTGCTGCTGCTGCTCCTCTTCTACAACTCGATTCATCTGCTCCTCATCTACTTGGCTTGAGGAAGCATTACCTCGAAGAGACCCTCCAGTTCGTCGCCTCTTGCTGCCCACAGACAGCAGTTCTTGATTCATTTCCAAAAGCCAGCTTGCCACTTCTTGGACCTTGGCTAGACTATCGGAAGATGCAAATGTTTTCACATTCTAAGAAGACAAAGACAAAGGCAAAGTTGGGGAATTACAAAAAAAGGACACTTGATTTTTTTTTTTAAATAAGCAGAATGATTTCATTAACTAATTTCTGACGATTTACTATTCTAAGCACAAAATAGCAAAAGAACTACCATATGAACAAACTGAAAAAGCACACAAAAACATTTTATAACAGTATATTTTAAATGAAGCAAACTACTGAAAGAAGGAAAGTTATCAAGAGGATGCTTGAAATACTGTTATTTATTTGTACCTGAGCACACAGTCAGACACTAATCAGAAACTCTGAAAGTACGGAATTTTGTTTTGTTTTTACACATATGACCTTGCAATTGCTGCATTAGAAAACTAGAGTTTGATTACACTAATTGACACTCTATAGTATACATCATTACTTCCTAGTCAAACCTTTGGTATTATGTGAAAACCATCAGCAATCACTTTAGTATTTTTATTAATGATGTGGTACTATAAACTACTCCACTAAAGTTCTGTTGAGAACAGAAACTTAAAAACCCAGCTAGAAATATGCTCACTGGGATGCAAGTATACTCCAGGTGAGAGAAAGGACCACTGGGGAAAGAAGGGGGAGGAGAATGTGTGTTACAGAAAGATCATAGATATTACAGGGGTATGAGCAACTGTGGTTCACTGGCCATCCAATTAGTACCCAAGCCCACCAAATCTAAGTTTGCATGAACCCTGGTATGCAAGACTTGAGTAAAATGCAGATGGGTCAACAGAAGTGTTGGAGATTTCAAGGACAACAAGGGAGAGGTCAGAGAGATGGGCTGATGGGGATCAGTTGCAGGGATGGTAGATGACAGCAATATGGGGGGGGGGAAGCAGTATTAATTCAGGGAGGAGAGTATGGAAAGGTGAAGGAAGAACTAAGTGATGAAGACTGCCGCATCCAGGGACTTGTAGACAATTTAATTTTAATAAAGTGATAATGTGTTTCACAAGATGACAACGGTTTGCTCTTCTAAGAGTTCATTTTCCCCTTTAATTATTGCCGATCAGAGTTGGGCCTTCAGGTACATTTAACATATCCCTTCAGATTCATTCATGAAACAGGTTTTCTAACTAGGGATACATGTCACATTGCCCAGGGGTACATGCCTAAATTTTAATAATGGTGGTGGAGCCTCTGACTAGTCAACATGTGGTAAATAGTGTTGCTGTATATTGGC